CCATCCATCTTGGAGAAAACACCGTGGCTAGTTCCCCCCTAGTCGTACGCCAAAGACTCTTAACTCGGAAAAGAGAACCGGATGCGATTGCGATTTCCACTTTCAAAGATTTCATTAGTCTATTAGCTTAATCTCGTTTCAACTTTTCCGGCATGTTTTCCAACCTATTTTTCCGACTGGATGCTCCAAAAGCAACCACCGTCCATTCTCTTTTCTTGACTCGATTGTAAATACGTTTGTTCGCGTTCCTAAACGAAGAAGTAGCGTCTTACGTTACCAAAACAACAATCACCTACCTATGGGATTATAATGAAGTACAATGCTATATTACATCGATTATGTAAATGCTAATAAATCGTAGACATCGATTGTCTGGAAAGCAAACGTCATAGGAAACATCGATTACCGCAGAACTATGAACGCGGTATACGCGTATATACCTAGGGGTACAGACATATTTGTACACACATATCTACCAACGCAATAGAGTCAATTTCGATAAACGATAATATCGAGATAGGATATGGTTGATATAATAATTCATTAAAATGACACGCGAAGACAAATTTCAATGTAAAACCAGATCTCTCGATCGGCGGACTATTAACTCATTTCTTTTGTTTTATCCTAAGGAAAAGTAAAGGATGAAATTAGAATAAAATCTTTTCGCGGTTAATAATAGAACGGTATGATGGTGAATGGATGAGCTCGGCTGGGCTGGTTACTCGTCGTGTTTGCCGTGCTTCCACGTTAGTATATATATGGTGTTCGTTAAACCTCCTCGAAGCGAAAGGGATCGTGCGACATCGAACGAGAATGAAGTGTGTGCGTGACTAACCTTCCTCTATCTCTCTTATGGTATATACACGTGTATGTAGAGAAAGGTAGATATATGTACACGCTCATACGTATATAGAAAGATTTCTTTGTCAGAGGAAACAGTGGCCATCGGTGGGTAGTATCGGTGGGTGACCGGCGCTAAATGCACACAGCACGATAACGTCTAGAAGCCAGAAGAGCTTTCAGTTCGAATGACAGCCCTTCGAGTGCACCGAGTCGCTCGGAAGCTCAAGGTTATTGACTGGCCACTCCATTTCAGTACGGTTCGCCGGCACATTCACAGCGTACACGCTCTCGTTCTCGCACTCGCTCTCTCCTCGTCCTCGTCCTCGTCCTCGTCCTCGTCCTCGTCCTCGTCCTCGTCCTCGTCCTCGTGTTCGAGGATATTTCGAGGGTTCGGAAAAAGGATGAAAAGAGGGACCTCGAGAAACGTATGTATCTTTGCTCTTGGACGTGCTATGGCTATCGGAATCGCTCCGGTCCATCCATTTCGAACGAGTCTCGCCGACGAGAACCGGATTGAAAGGGTGCCTGAAAAACGAACTACTGAAGGACGATCGTGGGAAAGAACTCGAGGACAACATCATTAATCGTGCTATACCAATAAATAAGACATTTTCGAGAAGGAGTAAACATCCGTTTAAAGAAATAAACCAACGGGATTTACTGTCGGCTAATCGTACCATTCGAAAATGACATTTTCTTATTGGGGCGTGTTAAATCTGTACAATGTGTACGAATTAGAAGAATATATGTTAGAAAAATGTATACCCGAGGAATAGCGAGTTCGCGATCGAACTTTAACGAATCGCCGTTGTCGATGACTCTTCCATTAATTATGTGGGAACCTTCGGCTAATGAATGGGTAGTTAGCGGGCAACGGTTGGAGCTCGTCAATAATTACCAGCCGAGGGTGCCGGTATGGTGACCCGGCTTTGATGCGCTAATTTACACCACCTGCACTAATGCCCTGTGTCGCACTAGCCCAGAACGACGACTGTGCGATTCGCTATCGGGAGATACGCCTACCGAATGTACGATGGATTAATATCCTTGTTCAATCGTTAATACGATTTTCGAAAGGATCGATTCGAATTAATACGCGTGGAGATCACGTCAACGTTTCGTTATCGTCATATCGCTAAACCTTCGACAGATAGATCGATCCCCTATCAGAGATGGGAAAATACATTTTTTAGAGCGATTCGGGAAAACAAGAAAAAAGAAAAAAAAAAAGCATAAAAATTAATAAATATTCCGTTATACACTCGACAAATATAACTATAAAGTGAATTTTTGTCGAACCACTTATAAATGAAAAAACCAATATTTTATTTATCTCGATTATATTTTCGTTGCATATCGTTAAAGAATTTATATGGCTAATAAAATGAATAAATAAAAATAATTATATATATATATATATATATAGGCGCGCGTTCGTATAGGTATAGTTACGATAAATGAAGTGTAAAAAATGTTGAACATTTATCAAAGGAAGGACAAAAAAATTGTATCGATTCGAAACCATTCGAGTAACGTCGAGGACAATCGACGAAATCGCGCAATGGGTTGTAACATTTTCGAAATTTAGTCGGAACACAAATTACAGGAAACATTCCGCGTGCTAACATGCTCGGGTGTTATGCTCGCTGGACTGTTATAAACACTCCGTGTAAACGTTCCCCGTGGTAGTAACGCGCTTTGCTTGCTTTTTCTCTCTACTCGTGAACACGAATGTCCTCCCTACCTTTTCCGTTGTTAAATTGCGACAGAGGTAGAAACAATGACTAACTGCTGCTGGCTCCTCGTGAATCCCCTAGATAACCAAATTTCGCATCCCTCCGTCTTATTATAAAAAAAAACACACAAATTTCGTCATTGTTACGGGTTATCGTATAAACGAAAATAAAAATCGATGTTTTCAAAAAAAAAAATAGATAAAACATAATATAGTACGGTTATAAAATATTTGTTAAACGCGTTATTACATTATTACAAAATCTCTCACATATATAATAAAACGGGAAGAGTATTAAACGAACGGAGGATGTTTCGGAGATGATAACTAAAAAAAAACGCAAATTAGAAATCTAAGAAGATCTATGCGCCAGCTAAAATAGCAGAGTTTCGTTATCGAATACTTGCGGTAGTAGTAGAGAAGCACCGACTGACGTCTGGCACGGCAAAGGGGAAAGTTCGATATTGATCAGACAGTGGAATGCCTCCTGTTCGCGTCAGCCAGCACGATTTCTCATCGTACCTTTATACGGACTCGTTCGAACTTTGGTCCGGTAAGTTGAACGGCTCTGAAGGAGAGATAAAAAGATAGATACATAGGGAAAAGAAAGAGAAAGAGAAAGAAGGAAGGAAGAAATGAAAGAAAAGAAAGAAGGAAAGAAAATAAAAAAAAAAGAGAGAGAGAAAGACGGACAAAGGGAAGAAGAGTCGGGCAACGTTAAAAGGAAAGGAAAGCAAAGAGGAAGAGAAAGAGAGAGATATCCGAAGGTAGCGATTGGAAAAAGGCAACTGCCAGTAGTCTGGCCCCTGTCAGGGTCAGACAATTCTGCAATAGGAGAGAGAGAGCAAGCGTGGCCTTTCGACCGAGTCTCTCACGAACGAACAAGCGGTAAATTCAATTTAGCAAGAGGAGTGAAAGAAGAATCGCGTGCGTGCACGGAAGGAGGAAAACTCTTGAGCAGCAGCACCAGCAGCAGAACGGCATAGATAACGGTAGACTAAAAATAAAAATAATCGAAATAAAAAGCGAAAAAAAAAGCTGAGAAAGAGAGAGAGCCGGATAGTGGTTACACAGATTTTTTCTCGCAATCTCGACTTAATCGAAAGGTGCCGAGAAAGAGAGACGAGAGCCATCAAACACGCCGAGAGGAAGACGAATTTCATCGTGGAAACATGCAAGCAGCAAGGGAGTAGTATACGAGGGAGCTTTCTCCGTGTCTGTCGGTTCTGTCTATTCGTCAAATGAAATACGACCTTTCCGAGACTCGTGGGCCTACATAAAACGCACATTACTCTTAAGTTTTTCTCCTACGCCGATATACCTACTACGACACGGAAGTGTTCTAAGAAAAGGGCATCGCTCGAGGGCGTCTAGCGAATCCATTTCCATCGGACGCAGTGCGAACGTTTTTCTTCTTCTTCTTCTTCTTTATCGTGCGGCAAGAAAAGATGAGCTCCTGGTTAAATTCGAACGAACGTTTTCATTCGTTACTCAAATAATAAACCCCTACTGCACATCTAAATAAAAAGAAAAATAGAAAGAAAAAAAAACACTGAATATACGATACATAATAAAATAATGAAAAAAAATCAACAAACGTTACTTCCACCAATTTGAAGGAAGGTGCGCGTAGGTGCGTCGGGGCATTAACCTATACCGGGTTGAAGTACGTCACATGGGCAGGGGGAAGAGGGGAGGGGAGGGGAGGGGGGGGGAAACGTGCATGCGATTGTTTCGCTTTGCGGTGCCATTGTTTCGCCGTATATACGTTTGCCCGCGCGTTTCGAGACGAACGCAATGAGGACAAACCGCAGCGAGCTGACACACGACTGGCTAAAAAAAATTCCACCCGCCAGTTGCATATTCATGGAAACGTCACGATATTCTCTATCTCTCTATCTCTTCATCTCTCTCATTCCCTAACTGTGCAATCCACGTGGCGCAAGATTATGCATAAAACTACGATATTACTGCGGCTTTCGGATGTTTTCGAGACGCTCTTCCCGTTCCAGTAATTTCCGAATTCATGGTAACATTTATATTGTGAGGAATGTCTACAGACTGGAATGACGTTCCTTTTATCATATACGCTTTTATTTTTAATCGTTATAGAATCGAATCTGTCCTTCATTTTACGCATATACCATAGGTGCATTTTGATGTTAGTATTGATCGAATATTGACAAATTGAAATTTAAATAAAATAACAAATTGAAATTAAAATAACTTTTCCTTCAAAGTCTCTGCGATTATTAATTCCAGATATATTCGCATTTAAATGAAATGCGTTTAGATTGACCTACTAACCTATATAATTTAATTCGATATAATTAATTTCTAACAGCTAACGATAATTCTCTCTAATTGCAAAATGGTAGAGATAAAAGAAAATGAGTTAAATTTTTGGAGTAAAACTCACCGAGAACGACAAGCTTGACCGGTCTCCCAGAAAGGAACTTTCCTCGATCGTACTCGAACGTGCATCCCCACGTTCCATCATCCTCCAATCTGACGTTATCTATGTGTAAAGCGTCTGTAGTAGAATCACTGATGTATCTGTGTCCAGTTCCGCTCATTTCCGTTCTCGTGTCTATCGTAAGCATGTCCACCGGATTTCCTTCGTGAAGCCACGCAGCTGGATTCCCATGTATTCTGTAACTTCTAATGAACGAAAAGAATGCTTGTATTTCTCTAACGATGCGTGGCACGGGCGCGCGTGTATTGTACGCGTGTATATCATACGTTATAGGAAAAGTCTAAGAATAGAAAGAAATTGAAGATCGAGTCATGGAAGAAAATGAAAAAGTATGAATTTACCTTGATCCCGACAAAAGGAGCCTAGAATAATTCCCTTCGAGCTCGCAAGGCAAGATAACCTTGGTATGTGGTTTTACGACGAGTTCTAAGGGTGGTCTCGTCGATATGGGACTCTCGTCCAACGTCGACACGCCGCTCGAAGAAAAAGAAAACGAAGGATTGTTCGTCGTCGAGGAACTAACGGACCATGCCTCTTCTTCCGGAGCCAAAAGTGCAGCGGGTTGGACGACGTTCTCGCCAAAGGATATCAAAGTCGACGATGAAGTCGTCGTACTCTTCGTTGTACTCGTCGTCGTTGTCGTCGACGTCGTAGTTCTTCGTGCTCGTCTACCACCCTCCTGCCTTCCCCCGCGAAACGCGTAAACGATCGCACCGTTTCCAGATCCTTGAACAAAATCATCGTCATCGATAAACATTATTTATATTATTATTTAATAATGTTTCTAAGAGAAATATGTAAGAAGTTATACTTCTTTAGCGTACCAAAACGATATAACCTCAATAACCTCAAAAATAACTTCAAAAAAAAAACAACATCATAAGAAACTCCAACTATCCCGCGTGCAAATATAATACTTACTCTAAATTTGTCAATAAGACGATAAAATGATAAAATAAAATAAAAGTATTGAATACAATTGATAAAGGTTTATATAAATATATATTAAAATGAATAATTATAATTTAATTTATTTATTTATATGTGAGGAAGAAGAAAGGTTTAATAAAAATAAGAAATATCGTTTTGTTCGTCGGTTTCTTTGTAAATTCTTCGCTGAATGTCTAAAACGTGTCTTCGTAGGCATCCAGTGAAAGAATAGAACGAGTGTCTTTGTTGATAGACCCAGCAGGTCGTACTTAGCAACGGCTTGAAGAGTGGGGAGGCGCGATAACAACATTTCGATATTTTCAATATTCTCGATATTTTCAAAATGATTGAGCCGCGTATTTCGAATATACGCTAAGAATCTATAATCTTTACAAATGGTACATAAATCGTTATCACGTTGAGTGCCACACGAATTCTAAAGGAAATCCTCGTCAGGCCACGCTCGTTATTTAGTATTGAATAAATGTAAAATAAATGTAAATAACTTCCAAAAATAAAGACCAAACAAATAAAATAAATAATTAGCAATAATATTAGTTTTTGCTGTGACATTTAAATTGTTTAAATTTGTATCGGTAATCACAGGCTGCGCCGATGGTTCGCAAAGTAAATTAGATGTTGACGGAATACATAAAATTTCATTCGCAAACAATTCATATCCTTATGCAATCATTTTTCTTCGCAGTCTATACTACTACGTTCCGCATTAATTTGCGTTTTGTTTTCCTTATTCTTCTTTCTACGAAGACGTTTTTCTTTACATTTCCCTGCATTAGTTTTAGCCGTCTCGAAAACTTAAACAGAAATTGAAATGTATATGGATTCTGGTCAGAAATATCAAAATATAGATATTAATCCACACTAAATATAAAAGAGTTATATCAAATTACTTTATGCATCAACGGGCATGGCGCAGTGACAGCACTAGTTCCTGCTCGATTATTTAAGTCAAGCAGCGCTTGAGTACGATTAGAACTTAGTTGGGTGACCGCTTGAGAAGAAAAATTTTGGAAATCGCTTTGCCCGCGCATCGTAAATATCGATAACTTCGTGGTGTTGATTTTTCGGTCGCATCTAACTTCAGTTTACAAAACGCGCCAAAAGAAGCGTATAACTTCAAAAATGCATTAAGAAACATGTTTGATAGTATGCAAATGTATGATGTCATTGATTAAAAGAACCGAGGATGAGAAATATAAAAGAGACGAGGATAAAAACGGGCGAGAAGAGGTTCATTATAATTCCTGATCACACCACGCTTAATCGTCCTACTCCTCTTTCCTTCCGGCTCGTCTATTGTGCGGTCCATCGTGTTACCGCTTTTCAGGACGTACCAGCGAACTAAATTAGACCGCGAACGTCGTCGTCCCTCCCTCCCTCTCTTCCACCCCCTCTCCCTCACCCTCTCTCTCTCTCTCTCTCTCGTTCTTCTATCTGCTGGCATCCACCGGTAAATATTCTAAAGACTGGGACTTGATCGAGTTAGCAGGAGCCCGGAGAATTCGATAAAGCTACGACAAGAACGGCGAGACGACGCTTCTCTCCTATCCGGCATGCCACTCTCGGCATCTCCTTCCTTCTCGCCCTCTCAAACCTCCCTTCTCCCCTACTCTTAAAGCTACCTATCGTGCTTGGTCGACCGAGAGACTTCTCGAGGAAAACTAATTATTGTACCGATGAGCGGCGAATAGCTGTAACTACCTAACACAACTAAGACCACTGTCTTCTTTCTTTTCCCTTTTTTCCGTCCCCTACCAACTTTTCTCTTTTTCTTCTTCTTTTTCTTCTTCTTCTTTTTCTTCTTCTTCTTCTTCTTCTTCTTCTTCTACCTACCTACCAACCTACCCTTTTTCCCTTCGACCCAATTCTCTTCGACTTAGGAACACCGCAATTACCCCTCTACACCCCTGCCCAAGACACCGACAACGCACCAACGCGCTAACTCTTTTTTCGTATTCCACGAAGAAGCTTCTCTGTAATCACCAAAACGAATTTCCTCGAGCTTTCTTCCCCGAGAAGAAAGAAACCCGTGCGAACAATTTGCGATAACTTTCTGTGAAATCGCTGAGATTTTGATTTCTTGCTTTTACTTTAACGTGGATATAATATATATATATATATATATATATATATATATATATATAAATGTGTACGAATAATTAATGCAATTCGGACGATAGAGGGACATGTCAAATACGTGATTGCATATTTATACTATATTACTAAGAACGTCATCGAACGAAGTATTTCTCGGAACAACGATTATAATTTGATATTATTTGTTTTCATTTATTTAGAATACGTCAAAGTAGTTATACTTACGGAAAGCTTCTATATATTCCATAAATTCGATGGAACGACTTGGTTAATTCGTTTTACTTTCGAATAACGAGATTCCATATCGACCTATATAAAAGTTCTATCGAATCGTAACTACTTTCCGTTAGATTGCATCGAACTTCGATTGATTCCCGTTGTATGTACGACTTTGTGCTTTCGTACAAAAGGAAAATCTCCCTGGCGGAATAAATAAAATATATATATATATAGGTTCTCTCGCGCGAAGCAATATAAAAGCAGGAGGAAAATGGGTAATGTTGCTTCGGAGCTTACGTTGACACGGTGAACGCGGAAATTCGAGTGGATCGATGCGACGTATCTCAAAGAACAAAGAGGAAAAAGAGAGAGAATAAATCGTAAAAGAAAAGCTCGAATATAATACGATAACGATACCACGGTATCGCCCACTAGTGAACAGTCAACCTTCATCAATGTTCTAGGTGATATTCTGGCTCGGTTATACAGACCCATCGAGTAGATGTTGTTCGACGTTGATGCATGCATTATTCAAGCGATGTATCCATTCATTATTCATGTCATGATCAATGGATGTCAACAGATTGCGATCTGTACCTGGATAGATCGATGTGACAGAAAGCGAAAGCAAGAGCCGATTGAATGAGTTCAAGGATGTTGGTAAAAATGAAAACACAAAGTACATTTGTTGTACGTGTATATCTATGGGATATATGTGTACCGACTGTACACACACACACAAACAAACAGAGTAAAGATCGAAAATTTTCATCATCGAGCACTACCTATGATGGGTAGTAGAGCTTGTTTCGATTCAGCCTTCATTACTTCCCATTATTATTACGCGAATGTGTGAGGTTTCTCGCATCAGCTAGCGTTGTTAGCAAAATAATACGAACTTAACGAAGCAACCCTGCTAATTATGGAATCACAAGGGAACCTTTTACTCGCCGAGCTATACAATTTTTGTTTCTCGCGTAACAACAAAACTGCCCGTCAAAGTTGAAAAGTACGCGAGAGTTCGCGTTGAAAACTGAAATAATTCGAAAGAAATAAATGCCAGGAAGTACGAGTTTGTTAATCATTCTATTTGGGGTGAATTTCGGTAACGCTTCGAACGTTATCTTGCAAAAATGTAAGTTAAATAAGTGAAAACTTTGAACTAGGAAATAACTAGCAGAGAGAGAAGATATCTTTGTCAAAGCTACGAAAATTTGCGATTCTTCCCGTTGGATTCGTTTCGTTCGGCGCCAACGTAACGATCGCGAATTCTCGTCTCGAAGATAGTTCTCAATTGTGTGAGTCCTTGCAACGAGAAATCCATCCGCACTCTGCATTCAAATCGAAGCCAAGTCGTGTTCGAGGGTCGAACGGAAAGTTTCATCGAAGGTTTTACCGAATATCATGGCAAAGATGAACTTTGTGAAAAATGTAAGAAAAAAGAGAAAGAGAGAAAGAGAGAGAGAAAGAAATAAAAGAAAGTAGGAGGATGGAGAGAAAATATGCGACGGTATTCTTGCTTCGTACACACGTATAAAGCGATAAAGATCAGAGGAGGATCGTGTACTGGAGCGTGGCTGCGAAGAAAGAAGAGACCAACAAAAAAAAGTGAGTAAACAGGAAAAAGCGGAGAAAGAAGAAGGCAAGAGGAGGATATCGTAAAAAGAAAAAAAGAAAGAAACGGAAGAAAAGTCGAAAGGAAAGGAGGAGGTCGCGATGCCTGATGTATACCGTCGAGGGAACTTATCTCTTTCGCAAAATTCGTAGCACGAACGTCTTTGATGGCAATAGGAGTGATTCTCATCTAACCCGCACCTTTACCTCGGTTCTCTCTCCTCGTCCTATTTCCCCCCTCATCTTCGCCGGTTCGCTTTTGCCTTGTCCTTCCCCCCGACGACGCTATCTCTCTCTCTCTCTCTCTCTCCCTTTCTCCCCCGCGAGCGATTCTCTAATCCCCCTCCTTCTCTCTCTCTCTCTCTCTCTCTCTCTCTATCCTATCTTTTGCTACTATCCTTAAGTTAGTGTCATCCCGTACTAAGCCCAATGTAATACCCTTTGGTATCTAGAACGGTTACGGAGCGCCTTTGGTTCCTTGCTCCAATCAAAGCGATGCTCATCGTTAAGCCGTATCGACGACCTATATCGCTGTGACAAAGGAGTCCTAAGGCAAAAGGAGGGTAGGGCAGGGGAGGGAGGGAGGATAGTTTCTTGCGCGCAACAACAGATTCGATATAGGGGTAAACGGGAGCAGGTGCAGGTAAGCAGAAATCGTTAGAATCGATATAACGATAACGATAATGGTTGTCGAGCGCGAACATCCGGAACAATCGCATATCCATTTGTTTTTAAACGCTGGGGAAGCAGGGGCTACGGCTGATATTATAAAAATATCAAATCGGCCCCGATTAGCTTTTTTCTCTTGATATCTCGGCGAATTCCTTTTTCTCTTAGTCGGGTTT